GTAGGCAGACAATACTGCTGTTCGAATCCGTTTAGTCGGCCTTATGCCTGGCAGTTAAGCTTCTGGGGTTGGGGTTAGTTTTAGGTTCAGCGGTTCGTTAGGAAACTTAGATTTCTGTCTTTTAAACGGTCTGCTACGGCATAGCGCCCTTCGAATTGCACGCTGCCTTGTACTTAAAGAAAAGGCATGGTTGTTTTTAGAGGTCCCATTTGCTTTTGACTTATAATAATAACTTACTTTTAAATTTTCAGTAGCCCGAATTTCCCATTTTACGTTAAATTCCGTCAACATAAAGTCGCATTTTTATCAATAGACATCAGTTGCCCGAGTAACAGGAGGTTATATTGATGGAGCGGGTTTTTTTAGTGCAGTAAAAAAACTATACATGGCTTCAATTTTATACCATTTGAGCATCTTCAACACAATTAAATATTTATCTATACTCGTTAACCAAGAATTATTTTACCTTTACGTAGCCTAGTTGCTATTTTTTTCCACCCATAAAACATACAAGTACTATCATTGTCCTATGACATGAGCCCTTGTTTTTTTTTAGTTTGGGAGGCCTTGCTGTGGATTATTTAAAGCGTCTCAGAACGACCACATCGATGACAGCCTTGTCAGTTAGTGCAAAGAGATTCGAGGTTTGAGAGGGGGTGGAGCTAAAGGCGGGAAGAGGGAGAAGTCAATTTGGGCGGAAGGAACAAAAGACTTGGCACCAGACGATTTGGAAACAAATGAACCACCAAACACCATTAACCTATAGTCTGTAATGCGAGGGCGTCTAGAGCGAACAACTTTTTGAGTCCGAAGTGATTCGCTACTCGCTACATAACCCGACACCTCTCCCCCACCCCCGAGGTTGCGTGTCGCCAAGGTCATGCTGTTGACGACCGGTTACTGCAAAAGGATAGATTTGGGGGAGGAGGGGGTTGGGGCAGGACATTCAACAGACGGAGGAAAGGGGCAGAGGGGAGGACTGTTAGACCTCGACAGAGCTCACTCACCTGCGGACAATGGGAGAATTTTCTCAGAATGGGGAGGACCACCTGGCAAACGCTTTTAGACGTGGGATTGTCCTGCTCCACCAGTCTGA